TTGGTGAAGTAGAAAAGTTTCGATTTCCACCAAAAAAATTTGAAGACAAAATCGCAAACTTGAAATGTCATTTGCCCAGACATGACATTTTTTACTCTACAGTTATCTTCTTCCCCATCCCCACCCTTAATTTGTCTGGAGACGATTCTGATCTAGTACTTTTGGTCCAGAGAATATTATTTAAATTTTTAGAACAGGGTGGGTCAGCTAGGAGGTTGGTGTGATGTGTGGTGCAGGACAAGAACCCTTATCTGTTGTTTTATCAGATGACCTTTGACCTCTCCCCAAGAGTCCCATAGTACATTCAGTAAATTCTTGGAGCCCTACCATGTGCCAGCTCTGGCACTGAGCACAGAACCTTCCTTAATGGAGCTCACAGTCTAGGGTTAGTGCTCAAAACCCTCTCCTGCCTGGACTGTTGAACATTTCCTCCGTGACTACGGTCTGACGTCTCTCTACATGAATACCAGATGGATTCTCTTTTCTTTTTAAAAAACTTTTTAGTAGTTCTTTTTTTTTTTTTACTAATAAAAGCGATATATGCTCATTCAAGAAAAATTGGAACAATGACAAGGGTAGGAACACAAATTATATCACTGATAATATCATCATCTAGACATATTCTGTGCTGAAATATTGATATATTTTCTCCTAGGCACCTTTAAGATTTTATTTATTTATTTGACAGTGAACACAAGTAGGCAGAGAGGCAGGCAGAGAGAGAGGGGGAAGCAGGCTCTCTGCTGAGCAGAGAGCCCGATGCAGGGCTCAATCCCAGAACCCTGGGATCATGACCTGAGCCGAAAGCAGAGGCTTTAAACCACTGAGCCACCCAGGCGCCCCTCTCCTAGGCACTTTTAAAAATAATATACTTAATTAGAGAGTATAGAAAAATGACATTCTTTTTTCCTTTACTGTCATATCAGAGACATTTTCCCAAGTCATGAAAAGCCCTTGGAAACATTAAGACTGATCTTCCTAAAACTTAAATCCAATCATGTCACTTCCCTGCTTCAAACCCTTCATCACTGGTTTTAGAAAGTAAAGTCTCTACTTCTTGATGCAACACACAATTCTCCCTATGATGGGACACTGCATACTTCTCCAGGGTTGTCTGTCTCACTCCTACCCTCTTCCTTCACTCACTCCCCCAAACTCACACAATACACAGTCATTTGCCACCACTCCCCGAGCCCTTGCCACTTTCACTCCCTTATATTCTACCTGTGTGGGCTGCTTTCAGCTTCCCAGGCTGCCCCGGGTAGGGTCACAGCTTGATCCTTTACTCAGAGTGTTGCTCCTGCTTAGAATGCTCTCTCATCAGAGGATCCAGGGCAATCCTCTTTCTCAATACTCAGTTCAAGCACTGCCTCTTCCTTTCCCTCCCCTCTCCACCCCCTCCTCCCCCAGAGAGCATCTTGCTCCTTTTTTCATCCTCCGTGGTACCCCTTCTGTCTAGAACAGTACCCATGATAGCTCAGATGATGGAGGGTAGGAAGCCAGATTGTATTCATCTTCATTTCTGCAGTGCTTGGCAAATATTTAGCATGTAGCAGATGCTCAATGAATATTCGCTGGAGTGCAAACCGTTGAGCAGTTGCAGTGCTGTGTCATGACTGGTGTGCAGGGGCGTGTAAAGGGTGCTTGCAGAAGTCCCAAGGAGGGGCATTTTATCCATAATCCAGCAGACAGGGAATGTGTTCATTTTTAATGGGGGACAGCCTTCCTCCCTAATTAATCTACTGCTTTGAATCCTATTTGCATTTCTTTTCCATGGCCTTGGACCAGCTAGAGGCACTTTGTGGCCCTCTCCTCGTGCACCTTCTCCTTTGCCTGCTGAGACTGTGATGGCTTGAGCCCTGGGCAGGGCAGAAGCTCCCACTACCCATAAACCAGCCCCTGCTGCCTGCCTCCCACCAGGAGCAGCACAGACAGTGGCAGCTTGCCCCCAGTTGCCCATGGCTGGGACCCAGGAATCCCCCTCTAGCCCTGGAAGCCTGTCATCAGGGGAATGGCATTTGAGTTATAAGCATTGATAGCCAAGGCCATTAGGAGGCACATTACCCAGACTACAGCTTACCCAGACCCTTTATTTCTCTCTTCCTCCTCTCTCGCTGCCTCTGCCCTACTCACCCCCTTGCAGGGAGTCTCTTTGGGCTTTTTTGCTCATTCAACAGGTCAGACAGGAAGATAGGGAACATAGTTCCCTGCATGACATTTCAGTTCCTCAGAGGTCCTTCATTCTAGAAGGTTGAAAAAGGACCATGCCAAGCTGGATGTTCCACAGGAGAGCCTTGCAGGCAGAGATGGAAGCCTGTTTGCCCGGGCCTTGCAGTCAGCATCCTGCCAGCCATCAGGCTGTAGACCAAAGGCTGTAATAGGACAACAGGACAAGGAGGAGGGGAAGTAAAAGGCATGTAATCAGATCAGTTACCAGCTGGGTCCATTTGCCTGGGAGCCTGTCTCTGGCCATGGCACCAGGGAGCAGGTCACATGTCTTGAAGAGCCTGCCTGTCCACTGGCTTCTCAGACCCCAGCACCAGACACTCTCATTTCCTTAATAACTGGTTAGAGATCCTGAATCTATAAATTTAGCTAAACTCTCCTTGACCTTCCTATATTTTTAGTCTATGCTGTTTCTCAGGATAACAACTTCCACAGTTGATTACTTATCCTGTAAAATAACTTCATGACAAGTTAAAAGAAATTCTCTCTCGAGCTTGAAAATGCTATCTTTATTTAAATTTTATTTTAATTTTTTTACTAACATATACTGTATTATTTGTTTCAGGGGTACAGCTCTGTGAATCATCAGTCTTACACAATTCACAGCACTCACCATAGCACATAAATCGCCCCCCTCGCCAAAATCCATCACCCAGCCACCCTATAAGATGCTATCTTCTTAATTCTAGTTTCTGGTGTTGGTAACAAATTCATGCTTGGCCCTTGGTACATTTTGTTGATTTGGAGGTAGAGCAAGGGAAAAGAAGGTTGACATCACTTCTCAGCTTTAAATTTTTTGGCTTTAAGACTCTTTTTTAAAGATTTATTCATTTTTTTAAAGATTTTATTTATTTATATGAGAGAGAGCGAGAGCACAAGCAGGCGGAATGGCCGAGAGAGAGGGAGAAGCAGCTCAGCAAGGAGTCCAACGTAGAGCTCGATCCCAGGACTCTGGGATCATGACCTGAGCTGAAGACAGACACTTAACCAACTGAGCCACCCAGCCCCTCCCCTTATTCATTTATTGTAGAGAGAGAAAGAAAGAGCGTAGGGGAGGGAAATAGAGAGAGGGAGAGAGAGAATCTCAGGCTGACTCCCTGCTGAGCATGGAGCCCAGCATGGGGCTTGATCTCATGACCCTGAGATCATGACCTAAGCCAAAGCCAAGAATCAGATGTTTAACTGACTTACACACCCAGAGGCCCCTCCGCTTTAAGTCTTAATATCCACCATCTGTTATATAATGAATGACCCATTGGGTACCTCATTTACTTTTTGTTTCATTCCTCTGGACTGTTCCTACTTGTATTTATCCTATCTTGAATTACGGCAGCTAAGAGAATTTAGACATATATTCCAAGTGCACGCTGTTTAACACCATGCTGAAGCCTGTTGTTTCTCCCACCTTTTTGGAGATTTTTTTATCTTTGTGACTTTAACCTTAAGGCTGATGTTTTCAAAGACTTCCAAAGTGAAGCTTTTACTTTGAGCCGCAGAGGCTGTTGTAAATAGGCCTCTTGTGTGGGTAGTTTGGGTTAGACACCCACATTTGTTTTAGAGTCACTCACCTTGACCTTGATCTCCAGGCTTACTGTTTATCCACATTGCTTCTGCCAAGTTCCATAATGAAATGCTAAGTGTTGCTGTTTGATCTTTCTTCAAGGACACCTGTGAAAATGCTAAGATTGGCCCCATTTTTTAATATCCTTCTTGTTAACAGCTCCGGGGGCTGGGAGGGAGAGCTCATCATTGTAGAATATTTTTAATTTTCCAAGGGGTTATACAACTATTGTCTCTGTCGATTCCTTAGAAATCTGTAGAAAGGAGAGATCTGATTTGAAAACTGAAAAAAAATGAAGCCCACATGGAATAATTGCAGCTGTCTCACTTAAGATCATCCAGTGGCTAGCATATCTGGGGTTAGAATCCTTTGCCCTTAAGTCTTTCTAGAGTACTGTATTAATATCTTTACCTTGTTTCTCAATCCTATAGCACCTTAATTAAAAGAAATTAAAGGGATTCATAAATGAAAGAAAACCTTGGCAAATAACCTTAGGAAAGATATTTTTAGGAAAGGCTAAATCTATTGATCTCTTCCTGTCTACATCTCATTGGCATCTCGGGGGGGGAAAAAAAAGGTAGCTGATTTAACAAACAGGAGTTGGTCCAACTAGCTCTCCTGTCACTACCCTCCCCTTATCAATTGGCATTTGATGGTCTCACAACTGATTTTCTTTTTTCTTTTTTTTTTTTTATTTATTTATTTGACAGACAAAGATCACAAGTAGGCAGAGAAGCAGGCAGAGAGAGGAGGAAGCAGGCTCCCTGCTGAGCAGAGAGCCCGACGTGGGGCTCGATCCCAGGACCCCGGGATCATGACCTGAGCAGAAGGCAGAGGCTTAACCCTCTGAGCCACCCAGGCGCCCCCTGATTTTCTTTTTTAACTGCTTCGTCAGTATAGAATCTCAATGATTATCTTTACCTCTGCAGCACTTACCCAGATATAAGTCACTTTGACAATTTTCATTATGTCAGGAAATTGGCCGCACATGATGCCAAGTTCATCCTGATTGCCCGAGAAGGCGGCAGCTCTGGGCAATCTGCTGCAGGGACAGGGGAGTACCTGGCCTCCTGGTGCCTCGCTGACATTCAGTGAGAACAGCCTGGGCTATTGGTCTACCAAGTTGGCTGCTGCTAGGCAGGAAGGGACACAAGGGCCTCCAGATGACTTTTCAAGGTATGCTTCCCTAAGACTGTTTTTCTTCTCTTTTCAGAGTCTAGAAGGAGGCTCCTACCGGGGAAGCTTGAAAGACCCTGTAGGCTGCCTGAATGAGGGGATGACTCCACCCACACCTCCTAGAAACCTGGAAGAAGAACAGAAAGCCAAGGCCCTAAGAGGCCGGATGTAAGTAACTTTCCCATATACTATCCTAGTATGCATGTGTATGGTGGACAACATGCTGAGGTTGGAAGAAGTTTGGGGAGGATTACAGAGGGATCCCCCACACTGTATTTCCACAGATACTATTCATTCTAAGTAAAGGTGACCTAGATCTGTGCAGTGTACATTGATAGACAAGGCACTGCAGTGGCACCGACATTAAGAATTTTAGGCTAAAGTATCGTCAGAGAGATAGCAGCTGTTATTGACAAAGTGTGGTAATAACCAAGGTCTGTTAGAAATTTAAAACATGTTGGGGCACCCGGGTGGCTCAGTCAGTTAAGCATCTGCCTTTGGCTCAGATCATGATCCTAGGGTCCTGGGATTGAGCCCCCAGCAGGCTACCTGCTCAGCAGGGAGTTTGCTTCTCCCTCTCCCTCTGCCTGCTCGCTTGCTCTCTCTCTCCCCCATCATTCTCTCATAAATAAATAAATAAATCTTTTAAAAACAAAATAGCACATGCTGACAAAAGGAAAACAACAAAGTGCAGGGAACAATGGGACTATTACTATGGTCCCATATTAGAGAAACCATGGCAGAAAGTCTGGTAGAGTTTCACCTGAGGAAACATTTCTCAAAATGTAGAGAAGTCATATCTAGGAAAGGCTTCTGTTGTGCCGGCTGGCCAGGGCCTAACTCCACCCCTTTCCTAACCCTTTAAGTTGACATCCATTTGTGGGCTTAGCTCCAAGAGAACCTCTTCACTTTTTTTTTAATAGTTGAGGGTAAATAAAATTCACATTGCAGCCCATTTCACAAAAACCCGTATTTTATATAAGGTTTGAGTTATCTACCCTGATGTCAAGGCCATCTTCTGTTATTTGAGATGATCAAGAGGATATCAGATACCATTAATCCCAAACCACAATTCCTCCAAAACTTTAGTTTTCTTGCTTCGGATTTGATTCCATGTTGGAAGCAGAGCTTGGTGAGTCTTGGATGTGGCCTGGTATGTGAGGGATTATAAAGCCCAGAGAACTGATCCCTTTGCTAATTAGTCTGTCCTTCTCCCTCAGACTCGTCCTTCCTTTAGCCTGGTCACAGATGTGAGGATTAGCAAAAATGAGTGAGGCCAGGCCCCTCTGTTGCCTGGAAACCGGCAAAGTGAACATCTATGACTTTCTTTCCTAGGAAACAAGAGTAGAAACATCGTAGCCAGGGCCTGGCCTCCAAGCAGGGTTGTCACCTCATAGCTGAGCTGAACAGTGTCTCTTCAGGTCCAAACTTACCCCTCACCTTTATGGGTACCCGGGGGAATCCCAAGAATGGAATAGAGGTAGAAAAAATACCGTCCCTAAATGGAAATTTTTTAGGACTTGTATAAAGCTGCTTCTCTTTAGCCTCTCAGGGTATTTTTTTACATAGATAAGACAGTGGTGGAGCCAATGTTCCAGTCCTCTGTCAAGCCAACCAAAACTCAGATCAGAGAGGAGACCTTTGGGGTAGCAGATGGTCCTTGGCAAAGCCTGTCACTGCTCTTGTCATTTTGGATGAACAGGCTCATGAGCAGTCATGTAAGCCATTGTCCAGCTTCCAGATGTGCTGTTGTCTGATCTTGCTCCAACAGGCAAAAGTCTGTTGCCTCTTTTACTCTCTTTACCCATTCTTCTCCCTCTTCTTACTCTTTTGCCTGACTCTACAACTCTCCACATCCTGAGCTATCCTAAAAATCCAGCCATTACAGTGTCTCATTGCTCTTGCTGCAACTTACGGCCATGATGAAAGAGAGGATAGATACATGTCTAATTGTGAACTCTGTGTGAGGCGAGAGGCCAGGGAAGGGGAGTGGTGGGGGGAGGGGGCAAGGTACAGGGAATGGAGACTCAGTCCAGACAGCAAAGGGTTAAATGGGAGCTCTGTGGAGAAAAGATAAAAACAGATAGTTATTTGTCCAGGACAAGAAAAAAATCAGGGTGGGCTTGGTTGTCTTCAAGTTTTAGCCGTCATTCATTGAACAATAGGTACTGAATACCTATTGTGCACCAAGGTATGGGATGTATCAGTGAATTAGACAAACAATAGGAATAAAAGAAAAGTCCTTGCTCTCATGGCAAGTCTACACTATAAAGGGAGAAATTGCACAATAAAAATAAAAATAGATTATTAAATATGTTAGAGGCTGGAAAAATAAAAAATAGTAAGGGAGATTTGGAGTACGATTGAGACCGTGTTGCGATTTTAATGCACAAAGACTAGAAGCAGGTAAGAAATAAGCCATTAGCTGTGGCCATTAGCCAGGGAGGAAAAGTGTTCTTGGCTGAGGGAATAGCCAGTGCAAAGCTTCTAAGAGATTTCCTGTGCAAGACCAGTCATTCCTCACCATTGTGAAACACAGAAGTTAGAAACAGGTCTGACCTGTTGCTGGAAGAAGTTTAGTTGGGCGAAAGAGTAACATTTACCTTGTAAATAACCTTTACTAATAAGAACTGAACATTTGTTAAAATACTTTATTATGATTTCAATTTATTTGGCAATTAATCATGGTCTGTCTTATGCTGCATGTAATTTAAATCTTTTATGGACCTTTTCAGAATGTCCATTAATGCGTCATGATCTCCTCAAGTATTTCATTGGGCCTTCAGTGGAAGTGATGCCAGGCCCACTAGCAGCACCTAGCCTAATCATTCCCCTTCCCTAGAGGCTGGAAAGCCCAAGACAGCCCTCAATCTGTCAGCAGATAGCATAGGATAAATATATCGCCTGGAGACAGGGAGCTGGACTTCATCTCCAGAGGGCCCTCCCAGCCCCAAGTTCCCACTCCCACTTTCCTGTGGGTTTTTACCATTTTCTTCCAAGCAGTAGCGTGGGCCATGCTAAAGATATATTTAAATGCTTTTATTTGGCCTTGCCAGTTCCTTCCTGTGGCCTATAACACATGATTGTGGATTGTGTATATTAGAGAGAGGAAACTGGTTGGAAGTACTGGACATGCTGATAAAGAAGCATGTGTTCCTTTTGCTTTCTCCCCATCACCCTGAGGCCCAGAACCTTGGATCTGTTGGCTTCTGTGTGCCATATAGGTCAAGAATTCCAGATGAAGTGCTTCCTGCATTCAGAACACTTACAGCCCTTATGCTGGGGTTCCTTCGGCCCCTTGGGCCAAATAAGCAGTTGTGTGGCTCCAGGCAAAAAAGATAGTAGGAGTCAGACTCCAGTAAGCCGCATGGCACCCAGCCTGCCCCCGTACAGCCTTTAGTATTTTATGTCCAGCTCTTTACTCTCTGGACAGAAAGAAAGAGAAGCTCTTGGATTTGAGGCCTCAGGGGCACCAGAGAGCCAGTCTGAGCAGTTTGCCAGGCAGCAGGCAACAGTGGAAGAGCAGAGTCTCTGAACTCTGGCATAATAGGTTCAGATCCCAACTCTGCTACGGACTTCGTCATCATGGGCAACACAGCCTCAATATCTTCCTCTATATGAAACAGGGCTTACAGGGGCACCTGGGTGGCTCAGTGGGTTAAAGCCTCTGCCTTCAGCTCAGGTCATGATCCCAGGGTCCTGGGATCAAGCCCCGCATTGGGCTCTCTGCTCAGCAGGGAGCCTGCTTCTCTTCCTCTCCCTCTGCCTGCCTCTCTGTCTCTCAAACAAATTAATAAAATCTTTAAAAAAAAAAAAAAACAGGGCTTACGCTCCCTACCTTGATAGAAGCATGAGACATTTCAGATGAAGGGCTGGCACAAAGCAGTGTCTGAGAGGAGGAAATCATTAACAAGAAAGAGACCAAGAAAGCAAGGGTCCTTGTGTTGATTACACCCCACATCTGCTGGGGAGAGGGGAGGCTACTGCTTTGAAAGCTGTGATAATGGGGGCCTGCAGTCAACCTTTCTGGCCCTGACTGGACCTTTTGCAGGCCGGTTACCAGGGACAACTATCTAATGTAGCTTCTGTATCTCAAAAGTTTCACTTGATGTTGGTGTCTCTGAGGACTCAAAGCTTGATTATCAAGCAAATGTCTCTCTCCTCTTGATAATCACAGAATAGAGTTGAAATGAAGGAAGAAAAGTCTCCTGGTGGGTCTTTGGCCTCAAAGCTTTCATAACTCAGTTTTGTCAAAGTATCTTGTCATAAAGGTGCCAAAGTATCTTTCCTGTCAACTTAAGTGTGAAGATTTCTTGCTTTGCAATGAAGAGGAACCCTCATTGTTCTTAATCTCCTGCTCAGGTTTGTCCTGAATGAGCTGGTACAGACAGAAAAAGACTATGTCAAGGATCTGGGGATTGTGGTGGAGGTGAGTATGTGGGTCAAGGTGGGTCTGAGGTCACCCAACCAGGGGCATGTTGGACCCCACCTGGGCCAAGGTGTTTTTAACTTGTGGGTTATGTGCAAATACGTCTGCGTATTTGCAGAATGAAACTAAGAATGACAATAGATCAAATGTAATATGCAGGGTTTTTTCTTTTCTCCTTGAAATATCAAAAGATTCAGAGGGAGATGGGGTCTCAAGTTTGGGGTAGAGCTGAGTCCCTTCCTCTTGTTTTAGGTGACTAACTTACTACCTCAAGAGCCTCATATGGCGTTTAACCATATGGACATTTCTTCTTCAGGCCTATGAGTCACCATGGGCACAAGCAGGGCACTCCTAGGGAAAACTTGGGGCTTAGAGTCTCCTTAGATTTTAAGGAGAATGTTATGGCTACCAAGAGAACAGACCAAGAAAGACCCACCCATAAGACAAGACTGACAAGTCCATAGTTAAGAGTCAACTTACAGTAAATAAAACAGCGCTCTCCTTAGGGATTTACTTTAGGGGCATTTAGATACTTGGATGAAGAAGACTTTCTCTTAAGAGGGCTGAAGACAAAGAAAGGGACCTAGAACTTTATCAGAGTTGGGTCTGTCACTCTACATGGGGTGAAATCCTGGCCGAACACTGAGACCAGGGAAGAGCTTGCCCTCAGGCTCCCGAAGAGAGTGGGCACTTACACCAGCTGCAGTATATGAGGCTTGGCATGAGAGCTTTCTGGTAAAGATGCCCCACTCATCACTGCCTCTGCTCTACAGGGCTTCATGAAGAGAATAGAAGAAAAGGGTGTCCCTGAGGACATGCGAGGGAAGGATAAAATCGTGTTTGGAAATATTCACCAGATTTACGACTGGCATAAGGAGTAAGTGCCACCTTGTCCCCAGGACAGGGCTCCCTGGAAATCCAGGACCCACCCATCCTCCCCCTGCATCTGACCTCAGGGGTAGGGTAGGGCTGGGGGAGAGTCTGGTGTCATGTATCTCATCATGGAGAAATAATACAGTTCTGAAGGAGGTGGCCTCCTTCCCTTACGCCCTCCCCTCCTTTTAGTTTTTTCTTGGCTGAACTGGAAAAATGTATCCAGGAGCAAGACAGACTGGCCCAGCTCTTTATTAAACACGTGAGTGCTTCCCAGCAGCCTCTGCGCTCTGCCCCGCCCCTCCCACCAGGCTCCCTTGCATGCTCTCGAAAGTTCCTCCTCTCTTCTGGTTCTGACCTTCCTTCTCACCCAAGTTCTTGGTTTTTTGGGGGGTGGGAGGGGGAGTACCTTCTTGGCAATTTGAAAGATGGGTGGTTGCCTACGCGTGTACTCTTGTATCCGTGGTACTGAAGAGCCTGTGACCCCTGAGCAGGGCGTGGGGGCCGTGCCCTGGGGCGGAGGGGTTTAGGTGAGGGGTCGGTGGGGGGCGGCCTCCTGAGCGCCGCTCGTCTTCCTCTGCAGGAGCGGAAGCTGCACATCTACGTGTGGTACTGCCAGAACAAGCCGCGCTCTGAGTACATCGTCGCCGAGTACGACGCTTACTTCGAAGTAAGCTGCGGCCTTCGCAGAGCCGGGGTCGGGGAAGAAAGGCAGCCTGAGGCAGCCGCAGTCAGAAAGGCCGGCCGTGTCCAGCCACATACCGCTCCCCGCCCCCCGAACAGCGCTGGGACCCCCTTCAGGGCAGGGAGCGCTGCCTCAGCGGGGCCACTGCCTTACCTCGGTTCCGTGGGCGGCTTTGCTCTGGACGAGCTGAGGCGGCCAGCGTGCGGAGCGACGGTGAGACCGACGCGGCTTCAGGAGTTTGGCGCAGACCGCCACCCGCCCCGCCAGTCCTGGGGGACTGCTGGCGGAGGCCCCTCCTCCTCAGCCAGGCACTCGCAGTCCCCTCAGGCTCTCCGCTTGCGTTCTGGAAGGTTCTGTTGGCCTCCTCGATCTGTTGGCAGATCTGTGTCCAGGGTGACACCTTTAGGCCCCTGCCCTAGGAGGAGCCCTTCTGACAGCAGAGAACAGAATACTCATTCCAGCGTGTCCCCAGGGCTGGAGTGAGGACACGGGGTGGGAAGTGCCTAACATGCAGAAAGTGGCAGGTTTGTGTGGTTAGTAGCATGGTGGCAGCTGTGTGGGCAGCTGTCCCTCTCCCCTGGTTTGAGGATTCTAAAACTCCATTGGCCAGAGGGAAGGCCCGTCCTTCTCACCTTGCCCTTTAATTTCGGGGACCCCATTCCTTTGGTTCCTTTTTCTTCTAATGTAGATCCCTTGTGTTCCAGGAGGTGAAACAGGAGATCAACCAAAGGCTGACACTTAGTGACTTCCTTATCAAGCCCATTCAGAGAATCACTAAATACCAGTTGCTCCTCAAGGTGAGAGAGCTGTGAGCCTGAGTCAGGGCTGGAGAAGGGTCATCTCAGATTCTGAGATGGAGAGCAGGTCAGCGGGAGGCTGTGTCTCCACCACACCTTTCTCATGAACGAGTTGGGGGGGCATCTGTGGGCTGTTATCTTCCCTGTCCCTGACTTATGTCAGCTCTTCCTCCAAATAAACTGCATGCCACTCCTGCCTATAAGGTTGGTGCTTAGCTCATTTTCTTTCAATTCGCTTTCTTCCCTTGTCACCATCACGGACTTGGGATCTTTAAAAAATAAAAAACAGTAACATAAAATCAGAGTGACCACAAGGAGAAAGAAAAGCCAAGGCAAGGCCCTGGAGAGCTTAAATGAGTAATACCTAAAATTTGATCATATTTTACCTTTTAAAATGGTTTAATTTGGTTTGTCTTACAGAATATGAGGTAAATGGAAGAGTGAGATTGATCTTTCCTTTCTCCCAGGCTTTCTGAACATAACCCCCATCCCTGCCCCGCTTCCTGCTCAGAGCCTCCCTCTCCCTTCTTCCCTTTCTCCCCCTCCTCCATTGCCCATAGCTTTTAATCTTTGAGTATTTGGGGGTTTTCTCCATGTTTCCAATATGATTCATAAGTTCATATCTCAGCTTCTATAATGCACTGCCATGTCTGTTGGGGAGGAAAGTCATCTGGGTATCATCATAGGTTTTATGATGCTGGATTTTTTATAGTGCTCTGTTTTCCTAACTGATGTCACCACTCTGCACCTTCCCTGCTCCCTCCCGCCCCCACCTTGCTAGGACTTCCTGAGATACAGTGAGAAGGCTGGTTTGGAGTGTTCCGATATTGAGGTGAGTCTAATGCTCTTGGCACTGGCTGTTCTTGGAGACAGTGTTGGATGTCTATCTCTAAGGGGGAAGAACTGGCTCTTGAGGGCCAAAGGTCCAGGCTGAGTCCTCTCAGTGAGAGCCCCTTGCCAGCAGCTGCTCGACAGGATGGGGAATGGCAAGTAGTAATAAACACACTGAGTGTTTTTCCAGAACCTGAGAATTCTGTCCTGAGAATTCCAGAGTTTCATTGCACTCATCTCCTCAGTGTGGCTCCAATGGCATATGGTGGGAATGGGGTGCAATATTTGAGTCTTCTAACATCCTTCAGAGATTCAGTGTTTCAGTGTGCCATTTCATCCATGAATCCAGGTACTATCTGAGTTCAACACATAAAACATCCTGTTTTCCCTCCTTCCCCTCCCCTGGAGGATTACTCCCTAAGTGAAGTCCTTTGAGGCAATCTCACCATGGGGATTATTTTAAGCCAGAGAGGTTACAGACCACTCTGGCAGGTTATTTTAGGTGAAAACCTCTAGTGTTTCACAAGCCAGGCTAAGCTGTTACTTAGGCAGCCAAGAAGCAACAGAGAGAAGAAAGAAAATATGAGAAGGAATGAGAATTGCTAAATAAAAGTGAGAAGGAGGAAAAAGCTGGCTGGGTAGCGTTCTTCCCACATGTGGTCACTGATTCATCTGGAGCCGTGCGCTGATGATCAACATCCCAACAGAAAATCCCATACTACTCTGGGAGTGGGCAGCAGGAACCAGTGTCCTTTCCTAGAATTAGGGATCCCCTCAGAGGTCCCTGTCCTCCAGCACGGAATTGCCCTAAGCTTCCTGCTTGAGTGCTTATCCCCCTCCTGAGCTGCTGTTGTTCTCTCCCACAGAAAGCCGTGGAGTTAATGTGCCTTGTTCCAAAACGCTGCAATGACATGATGAATCTGGGACGCCTGCAGGGCTTTGAGGTGAGCCCTTACCGAGCCCTCTCTCTTCTGGACAGCAGGATCCAGGGCTGTGAGGCAGCTTCCCTTTGAAGCCCTGTGCCCACCTCCTCTGCCACCTCCACTCACCATCTGTGCCTTTGTGCCAGGCTTTCTGGCTCACAGGCCCAGAATATGTATCTGTTTAGGATATCCAGTGATAGGACAGTCAGAGGAGGCTACAGAGCAGTCCACCAAGCTAGAGTCACAATTCCAAGGGGGTTGGAAAGACCCGAAATTCCTTATAACTGTGGACCTGGCAGTGACTTCTGCTTTGCTTGCTTTCTTGAGATGTGAGCGCGGGGAATAAGAGGGAGAGCAGACTATGGAATGAAAGTAGCACCAGAGGGAAAATGAGACACCCTTTTTTGGGGGGTGTGGTTCCTAGGTCTACATAATGGCTGGCTTTTTAGTTAAGTGACTATTTAAAACTTTAAAGCACACGCACATTTCTATTCTTTGAAATAGAATAGAATCTTAGGAGCTTGAATTGAGAATGGAATCTTAGGAGAAATAGCTAGATGTCCCTAGAATTTTGGCTTCAGTAAATAGCCAGTTTGCTAGGGCTGCCATAACAAAGTCCCACAGACTGGGTGGCTTAAAGAACAGAATTTATCATCTCATTTTTCCAGAGGCTAGGAGTCCAAGATCAAGGTGCAGGCAGTGATGGTTTCTTCTGAGGGATATGAGGGATGGATCTGTTTAGGCCTCTCTCATTAGCCTATAGATGGCTGTCTTCATGTTCACATGACATGCTTCCTATGTCTTCATATTGTCTTCCCTCTGTACATTTTCTGTATCCAAATTTCCCCCTTTTTTAAGGACACCAATCATGTTTAAGTAGAGCTCACTCTAATGACCTCACTTTAACTTGATTCTCTCTGTAAAGACCCTGTCTTCCAATATGGTCACATTCTGAGGTACTTGGGGTCAGGACTTCAAGTTATGAAGGGGGGATGGTTGAGCAATACACCCCATAACAGTGAATCTTTGAAGAAAAAATGGGCTTTCCTACTTTAAACTTGGTAAGTGACTACCATTAGTTTATACCCAAACCTCATATGCTAACTACATATCATCTGTTTTTAATATTAATATGATCAAATTGGAACTGACAGAGTCATTGGCATTTAATAATTGTTGAACCCCTTAGAGAAAGATGTGGGTCTTCTAATTCTGTGTCCTGATAATTCTGCAGCCTAAGATTTTATTATTCCTTTCTAGAGAAACAGGGTTCCTGAAAGTTGAGATGATAAAGAAAATAATAGCTTTTTTTTCTCCCTGGCTAAATTAGGATAGAACAGAATAGAAATAAGGCAGACTGGTCTATAAGTAAATTTAGGAGATGGTACATTCAGGTTTGGGTTACTGAGTTGGATTCCTGATGTTCTTGAGCCCAGTCCTCCTATCTCTCAGCCGTTCCTTGTGTCTGTCTGCCACCACTTTGTTCTTGTGACCAGGAACTATGTAGAGGGTTTTCTTTCTTGTTTATTTTTTGTAGATCCCAGTTCTCCACAGTAGACCTGAGGCATCTCAGGTCTGCAAAGCAGGGCTTTGTAGCAGAAATATACCCTGAGTTCTTACAACTTTTCAGTAGTCATACTGGATGAAGTTCATCATTTTTTCCTTGAGGCTATGCTAGGTCTAAAACTATTCTGAACAAACCAAGTAATTCCTTTTGCTCTTAAGTCTTGATGTCCACATGTTTCTGAGGAGTCTGGCTTGACTTTCTCCTGGTCTTTGAAGGCACCGACCACTGACAGGAAATCAGCATCTGACCATGCTAACTCACGTTAGACTCCACAGGAACTGCATTGTGCATGCACACCTGTGTACACAGAAGGCCACACACAGACTGCACGATTATCTTCCCTTTTCAGTCAAGCACCACCACCTCCTTTTTCCATCAAGTCTTGGAGAATTTGCTTTGCATTCCTTCCACTAATTAAGAAGGACCATGAACATTCTTCCATCCCTTCTGAAGTCCAGGGCTTTGGGCCTGGGAGAAGTTTGTCTCTGACTTACATTTTCTCTCTTTTACATCCTCTAGCTTTTCCTTCAGTATTGGCAGGGCTATAATTCACAGGTCAGACTCTTACATAATGTTAATAGAGCTTTTAGAGCTTTCCTGGCTAGCTGATAACTGGCTTAATATTAACTTTGGACCAGGGTAGAGATAAGCCTGTTTGGCTGCTGACCTTGACAGTAAGGAGCCATGATCCAAGCAGAGGGCAGGTATTTCTTGGGAATAGGAAAGAAAAATGACCCCTGTGCTGGGTACTGTTTGGAATAAGGTATTGTGTGCAGAGAATGGCCCACATTTTCACTAAAAGGCAAAAGCCATCACCTGAGAGAGTGTGGTTCAGAGGAGGCCCTCTAGCTGCTATCAGATATCAGGTGTCCGCGTGTTCTTGCTGCAGAACAGTGGGGAAATCAAGGTTCTCCAATGGCATCTGTGAAGACCTGCTGGGTTGGGCCTAATTCCCTTTGAAGATGTGAAGATGTCTCTGAAAATCAGGTTAGAAACTGGCAAACCAAATAGGCTCTTCTTATGTAGGCTGGAAAGTGGCCTGCTAGCTCAAGGCATTTCAAGAAGATCACAGGGCCCAGAAAAATATCTGCCAGCTTTTAAAACATGAGCACCTGTATATGGTACTCCGACGGTACCTGTTGATAGGTAGCAGGAGACTAAGATTTCAGAATTAGACTAATTCTAACTAAGAGTCCATCCTGAAATAATAGAAGGAGAGGAGAGGAGCCCAGCTCGTTAGATTACTTGTGGTCCTGCCTACATCACTCCCCTTGGTCACAGATTGGTTCTAGGTTTGTGGCCATAAGAGTACCCGAGGTCCTTGGCCTGTGCTGCGAGGGACTTCTGAGGACAGAAAGGCTACAGATGTCACCCACTTTCTGTTATCCTTTTAAGAAAAAATAAGAAGAGCCAGGATAATCCCTGAACAACTTTTTTTTTTTTTTTTTTTTTTTTTTCCTGAACAACTTTTTAGCTAATGATTTTATCTTCCTCCCTTCTGGTATTTTCTTAGGGCTGCTTCTTAGTGGTTTTCTAACCTTTTCCCCCAACCCCCTCCCCCAGGGCTCCGTGTCCCCTACCTGAATGGATGGGTCCTAATTCAGTCTCTTACTAGTACCCTGAGGCTTTTAGTGTCAGTTCTGTTGTCTGTGTCCTCAGGGGGGGCCAGTCTTGTGGACCCAGAAGGCTGTGGCCCCCTCCCTGTTTTTCACCTCCCTCACCCCAGTACTTGTTTCCATCAGGGAACCCTGACCGCCCAGGGGAAGCTGCTACAGCAGGACACGTTCTATGTGATTGAGCTGGACACAGGCATGCAGTCCCGGACCAAGGAAAGGCGTGTATTCCTCTTTGAACAAATTGTCATCTTCAGTGAACTGCTAAGGAAGGGCTCCCTCACCCCGGGCTACATGTTCAAAAGAAGCATCAAGGTAAGGCTCCCAGTGGGGATAACAGAGCAAAGGACAGAACCAGTCCTGGGAGCTGCTTCCTGAGGACAGAGACGTGGAGTAAGTACAGATTCAGAACCTTGGCAGTCTTCCAGCCAAAGAAGCTGTGGATGTGAAGGTTACATATTTTGAGAGAAAGAGACAGGCTGAATGCATGGCTTACGGATCGTGCAGGTTCTCCAGGATCATGTCATTCACTCAGAGTCAGAAACCAAAGTATTTAGCTATTAGATCCAGGACAAAATTTTGGAAATGTCTCCTGAAATAAAAACGTGGAGGAACCTGCCTTCAGCTCAGGTCATGATCCCAGGATCCTGGGATCGAGCCCCGCATCGGGCTCTCTGCTCCACAGGGAGCCTGCTTCCTCCTCTCTCTCTCTGCCTGCCTCTCTGCCTACTTGTGATCTCTGTCAAATAAATTTAAAAAAAAATCTTTAAAAACTTGGAGAAACTGTAATATGTTGTTGATTTTCTTTTTAAACCACTTAAGTATGAAAAGACTCAACTTGGATTCTTCCAGATGAATTACTTGGTCCTGGAGGAGAACGTGGACAATGACCCCTGCAAGTTTGCACTCATGAATAGAGAGACTTCTGAGAGGGTCATTCTGCAAGCCGCCAATGCGGACATCCAGCAGGCCTGGGTGCAGGACATCAATCAAGTCTTAGAAACACAGCGAGACTTCTTAAATGGTAGGTACTGGTCCTGGCTTCTAACAGGGCCAATGTCAGGGAACCCCACACCTCTGAACTTCCTTGGGTCTGGGCTTAACAGTGACCTCATGAGCCCGGATGACATTTTCTATGGATGGTATATTTGTAGTTTTCAGAAACACTTTGTTTAGAATTTTTCTGAACCTGGATATGTCAGTGGAACAGATGGAACATGATAAAGATGCCTCATCTTTCCAAAAGAAGAGCTATTCTCTTAGAGCCTGGACATAGGGTAGATGCCTTGTGGCCACCACTGCCAGCTGGTAATGATTGTGGCCGAAGTCTGAGTTGGGCACATCCACCTTGTCTTAGGGGCTGACTAGCAGTGTCCTATGTTTTCCCATTTCGTGGCTAACGGCTGGTATTTTCACAGATTCTCTGGTGTGATCTAGTGATAACTGGGAATTTGACAGATCAGTGGGAGAGCCTACATAGGTCCTCTTGGTAGCCAGCTTGAGCCCTTTCAAAGGAGAGGTGATCCCTAAACTCTAAATTTCAGTGATATCCTGATACTTCCTAGAGCTCATGATTACACAGAATGTGTAGCTCTCTACGGACCCCGCAGGAGTCCCCTAACTGGTGGTGGGAACCGAAGTGAAATGGTGCTGCTACCTTGTTTATGTTTCTTTATCTCTTTTCACTGCTAGGGTTGTCTCCACGTTGAGCTTAGCATGTGACAGGAAGCGTACGGTTTTAAAGTAGTGCTCGTCTCTCAAGTTGATGCGCTCAGCAGTCATTCTGAGCAGAAACAGAGCCAGAAGGTGAAGGCAGAATGTCACCAGAAATGAAGTTACCCCAGAGACTTAGCTAGCACATATACCCATACATATACATACATACACATACATGCACACATATGCACGTGCACAGACTCAGCAAGCTCATATATCCATATGTGCGCACACACACGTACACACAGACTCAGCAAGCACATATATCCATATGTACACACACACGTACACACAGACTCAGCAAGCACATATATTCATATGTACACACACATGCATGCACACACAGACTCCACAAGCACACATGCCTGTGTGTACATACACGTGCACGCACACACACAGGTCCAGTGTCGAATGTGTCACCTCTTGCCAGTACTGGAATCTGGACTCCTTCACGTGGTGCAGACAGCCCTTGTTGGGTGTCCAGCAGCAACCTGAATGCTGTGGGGAAAGATTGAAGGTGACATACCAGTTGAAGACCATGGGCAAGTCATGATGTTTCTCTGGGCTTCTGTTGGCTCATTTTTGCGAAAAGGAGAAACAGTCTACTCTGCCCACATTGGCATGTGCTCTGGTAGTAGAAGCAGGAAAGCATGGCACAACTCCCTACAATCTCAGTCTAATTGCATGATAAGGGATTTAACACATTGTATTTATTTTAAAACATGTAAAAAGAAATTATACAGCAAGATAAACATGAAACTTCAATTTCACGCTGTAAGTGTGAGAGTATTTTGGGGTCATCCCCTCTGATCCCCCAACTGTAGGCAGTTTGATGGAAAAAAAAAAAAAAAACTTTGTGATCTCTAGGGCTCTTTCTCATTCTAAAAAGTCTAAAATAAAACACCAGCCCAGCCCTGAGGGATAGCAATAGAAGTCGTATATAGTTTACAGTTTCTGAATGTAGAACTTTGAATTAACACCTATGTTGATAAAATTTAGGTAGAAGGTGCACATATATAAAATACATTGATCGAATTACATCCAGTGGTTAAGAATTTCTGATAGATTCTAAGCTGGGATGAGATTTTTAAGTTTATCAATTCAGTACAAAAGACAAATAAGAAAAAACTGAAACCAGCAATAATGGAAGTAACAACAACGGCTCACACATGGAGTCCTTTCTCCGAGCCAGGCACGGTGCTAAGCATGTATTCACAGGTATCATCACCGTTCATCCTCAGGTCACATGGAAATGTGAGTCCTATTATCCTGTATTTTTCAGGTGAGAGAAAGGATTCAGGAAGGTTAATAAACTTGTCCAAGGTCACAAAAACAGTAGGTGATAGAACAAGGACTTGAACCGAGAACTATATAACTTAAAATTAGGCTTTTAACCACAAATTACCATATAGTCAGTGGTGGTAGGGATACACATTTATCTATGACCTCCCCGGTAAACAAAGCAAAGAAAGAAACAGGATCAGGCAGAAGATGCTATAGATCAGGCAGAAACAAACCCTTCCAGGAGATCCGTAGCTTCCCTGATCCTAAGACCTGAGTAATGCAGACTGAACAAGTGGAAGTGGAAGCGGAAATAAAGGCTGTCTGTGTAGCTCATTTAAAAAGCCATATTAAGGGGTGCCTGGGTGGCTCAGTGGGTTAAGCCGCTGCCTTCGGCTCAGGTCATGATCTCAGAGTCCTGAGATCGAGCCCCGCATCGGGCTCTCTGCTGTCTAGGGGAGCCTGCTTCCTCCTCTCTCTCTGCCTGCCTCTCTGCCTGCTTGTGATCTCTCTGTCAAATAAATAAATAAAATCTTTAAAAAAAAAAAATAAAAAAAAATAAAAAAAAATAAAAAGCCATATTAAGGGGGCGCCTGGGTGGCTCAGTGGGTTAAAGCCTCTGCCTTCGGCTCAGGTCATGATCCCAGAGTCCTGGGATCGAGCCCCACATCGGGCTCCCTGCTCAGCAGGGAGCCTGCTTCCTCCTCTCTCTCTGCCTGCCTCTCTGCCTACTTGTGATCTCGGTCTGTCAAATAAATAAATAAAATCTTAAAAAAAATAAAAAGCCATATTAAAAAAAATAATTTAAAAAGTTAAAAAAATAAGCCATTTTATTTTGAAATACTTCAGCACATTTATTATATCTATAAACAGGTAATACCCCAGTTCCATGTGATAGGTACTGATTCATATAGTCAGGTTGATAAGGCCTGCTTCAAAACTTTTTGCCATCTACTTAAAACTTAGAACTGCATTTCTTTGGGTCTAGTCCATGGTCCAGACTTTTACATGGTTCCAAGAGACCTTTCTCTTAATTATAGTGTGTTATAGAGCTATTGCTGAATTAGATTATCAATACTTAAATATTTAATGTCTACAGAATACTCTCCAGGGAGAAAGGCTGAACTCTGGCAGGAGTCTGATACTTTTTTTTTTTTTTTTTTTTTTTTTAAGATTTTATTTATTTATTTGACAGACAGAGATCACAAGTAGGCAGAGAGGCAAGCAGAGAGAGAGGGGGGAAAGCAGGCTCCCTGCCAAGCAGAGAGCCTGATGTGGGGCTCAATCCCAGGACCCTGAGATCATGACCTGAGCTGAAGGCAGAGGCTTAACCCACTGAGCCACTCAGGCGCCCAGGAGTCTGATACTTTTGACACGTTCAAGGGGTAAGGCTGTGATGACAGAGTGGAGCCAGCCTTTTGCTCGCAGAGACATGTGCAGGCATCGCAGGGCCAATATTTCCCTCCTGAGACCTCAGAGAGGAAGAAGGGTGGCCCTGTATTGGGTCCTAGTGAAGTACATACTTATCACTGTAGAAATGTTCCTATAATTGAAAGGCCCCAGCTATAAACCCACTTAAATATTTGTTACAGAGAATCCTGATAAAAATGACAAAAGTGGGGGCACCTGGGTGGCTCAGTGGGTTAAAGCCTCTGCCTTCGGTTCAGGTCATGATCCCAGGGTCCTGGGATCGAGCCCTGAATCGGGCTCTCTGCTCAGCAGGGAGCCTGTTTCCCTCTCTCTCTCTGTCTGCCTCTCTGCCTACTTGTGATCTCTCTCTGTCAAATAAATAAATAAAAATCTTTTTTTAAAAAAATGACAAAAGTGGGCCAGCCCTTGAAGTCATTATTACAGAGTTTGACCTGTATGCCTTTTGCCTGGCTATCCCTCTTTAGTACTCAGGCCTTGGAACTTTCTTATCTGAAACTAAAACAAGGCTCACATCTTTCCTCTGTCTCCTGAGTTCCACTGACTGCCATCCTACCGGTCTCCGAATTGGAGTGACCCTCAGCTCTCGCTTCCTCCTTGCACCAAGGCTGTGGCAGTCTCATCTCCCTCCAGAACGCGTGCCACCCCACAGCCATTCTACATTCTCTCTGGCTCTGCTCTGCTTGGGTCTCACTGGTCACTATCTCAAGGTTTCTGAATCAGCCTCTTTGATTCCTCTTCCCAGCTGCCACGAGGTTCATGTTCTTTGGTTGTGGCTCTGGTGAGAGAATTTAAAATGTTCAAATTCATTTAATCCAATCACTTTTCATGATCTTCAGAATTACACCCAGACTCGTTAGCCTAGCTTTGTTGATCTTTCAACCATGGCACCCATAACCTCCTTTTCCTGTCTCATCTCCTCTTCCTCCATGGAGACGCATGGCCTGCAGGTCCTTTGACTCCATCCCGTTCCCCAGACACACTTCACACTTGCCTATATCCTGCAGAGTCTGAAGCATGTCACCACCCCTCCTACGGGCCCCTACATGCACACGCACCCACACACATGCACACACACAAAGCCTTTGTTGCTGCTTTTGCACAACACTGTGCACCTCACATAGGGCATCACTTCATGTCTGCATTTTCCTTTTTAAGGTAGCTTTCTTAGTTCTCACAGGAGATTATAAGTTCCTTAAAAACAAGGTTAGTGTCTTCCTCAGTAACACCACAGTGCCTGGCACAAAGCCTGTGTGTAATAAGCTTCCAAATCCTTGTGGGATTCCCAGAGCTTAGAGTAACCATCCGCTCTTACCCTGCAGCCCTACAGTCACCCATTGAGTACCAGCGGAAAGAAAGGAGCACGGCCGTGATGAGGTCCCAGCCATCCAGGGTTCCCCAAGCCAGCCCCAGGCCCTACTCCTCTGTCCCCACGGGCTCTGAGAAGCCCCCAAAGGGCTCCAGCTATAACCCACCTCTGCCACCCCTGAAGATATCTACCTCCAATGGCAGTCCAGGGTTTGACTACCACCAGCCTGGGGACAAGTTCGAGGCCAGCAAGGTAAGTGACAGCCCCGCACCCCCACCCTCACCACTCTGAGGGCACAGCCTCCGAGCTCCCTTGAGGAAGTAGCTTCTTTTTATTCTGCTCATTTGACCAGAAGCAACCCACTAAATACAGCCAAGGCTCAATTATTTCTCTTTCTTCCCCTGCCAATTGAGTGAGTTAGACCAGTTCCCTCTGCTCAGATACTCTGTGTTAAAGGACTGTTGCCATCTGCAGAAACTCTGCAAATATAAGGTAGTATTGTAGTGGCAATTTTGACTTCTACCAAATAGAGTAGTTGTGGTTTGAATCACTGAAAGTGACAACTCTAGTGTTTGACATCTTAAAGAGATCACTCTTTCTAATGATGAGCTGCTGAAGTGAGCTCATGGTCCTCCACCATCCACTGGCTGATGCAACAAGGGGAGATTGCTCGTCTGTGTGTGAATGGGAACAGCAGACTTGGATGAGACATTATTCACAGATAATCCACAATTCAAACATCACCATGGCAGCAGCATAGAATTAACTGTAGACCCAGTCTGCACAGCGGTTTTGACCCTACCAAGTGGTAGGTGTGAGAATAAATGGGAAAGGTGTTAGATTAGGAATTCAGGCAATCTGGTTCCATTCCAAATTCTGCAGCTCACTTGTTCTAGAGCCTTAGCAAGTTCATTAATCTCATTAAGCCCCAGTTGCCTATAGAACTTAATGAATCTGTGAATAGGAAGATTTTTTTTTCACTTACGTGTTCTGGTTTTATTGTTTTATTTGCTTTATCCAAATTATTAAATGATACTGAGTTTTTAATTAACTGTTAATAAAAACTACCATAAGTTTTTTTTTTTAAATCAACTGTTAATGTCTAAGTTCAATTCTGCATTAGAATAACTGTACTGACCTATTTCATCACATTACCTAGAAATGATTTTCTACATTAAAAACCCCTTGTGGGTGCCTGGGTGGTTCAGTGGTTTAAGCCTCTGCCTTTGGCTCAGATCATGATCTCAGGGTCCTGGGACTGAGCTCTGCATCAGGCTCTCTGCTCAACAGGGAGCCTGCTTCCCCTTCTCTCTCTCTCTGCCTGCCTCTCTGCCTACTTGTGATCTCGATCTCTCTGTCAAATAGATAAGTAAAAAACAAAAAAAAAAACAAAAAAAACAAAACAAAACAAAACAAAAAACCCTTGTGAATTAACTGAAGCCATGTTGGCCTTTTGTCAAACTTACTGAGGAATTTTTTGTTCTGATCATGCTGTGTGAGGTAGCCAGATTACTAGGAGGTACAGGACAAGATTCAGCTTTCCTGGTGTACTCATATGAAAAGTCCTCAGAGGCAGGACCTCTTGTATTAATGAATACAGGTGGGACCAGAGTTTTGTTCCCCCTCGAGTTGGGTCAGGGTAGGTCATGGTCTTGCCTTTGAATTGGGCAAATGTCTCATTGTTGTTGGTCCTGCTTCAAAGAAGATCAGAATGTAGCATAAGACCAATGCTTTTACAAAAGGAAGAAAAAATGTTTCAAAGGGTCTGTCTTCTTTCTCCTGGGGGGTTGTGACCCTGACATGACCTTTGCCCCAACGTCACTCTGCCCAAGTGCTTATGTATACTTGTGCCTGTGCCACACTCTTCCGTGCATTGGAGGATGCTGGTGGGAAGGTTACATGCTAGAGAGGCTTCCAGGTGGAAGGTGTTTATGCCTTTCCCTAGGCTAGACAATTCTCTGCTTATTCACCCTGGATTATAGTATTATATGCAACATTGTTATAAAAAATAGATATTCAAAGCATGTTTATTGATAACATTTTATCACTTAAAATAATCTTCTGTCTGCTGTTTACCCTGATGGTGGAGGGTTGGCCTTTAACCACACAGTGGGATGTGAACCGGCCTCCTCGTGTCCGTGTCGCTCTTGCCCTTGTCTCCTAGCAGGGTGACCTGGGAGGCTGCAATGGGACCTCATCCATGGCTGTGATCAAAGATTACTATGCACTGAAGGAGAACGAAATCTGTGTGAGCCAAGGTGAGGTGGTCCAGGTCCTCGCCGTCAACCAGCAGAGCATGTGCCTGGTGTACCAGCCCGCCAGCGACCGCTCCCCTGCGGCAGAGGGCTGGGTCCCAGGCAGCGTCCTGGCGCCCCTCCCCAAAGCCACAGCAGCCACAGAAAATAGTGACGGAAGCATCAAGTAAGTGCCTCGTTGGCTTCCCCGGGAGAGGAGTGTGTGGATTAAAAAATCAAAATCAAACAAAGAACACAAAAAATGCAAACACATGCTAGGGAATTCCTGCTGCTTATTCTCGACAGTGCCACTGGAACCAATGTTTGAGTGCTGGAGCCACACGCAGCATGGGGCAGCCAGGCTGGATTGTTCTGGGCTGTGGTTGTTGTTGTTGTTGTTGTTGACAGTAGTGGCTGTGGGTTTTTTTGTTTTTTGGTTTTTTCCTTTTTGTTTATAATTTTCTGTTCGTTTTTTTCCCTCCCCTCCCCCATTAAGAAAAGAACCCTACTGAAACCCTAGATGACAAAAGGTATGCCTTCCGTTGCTCCATTTGACCCACCACAGGATTCACTGGACTGGACTTTATTTATATTGTATTAAGTTACCAATATATATATATATTTTTTTTTTTTTTGATTGACACCAAAAAATTACCTTAGCACGAATGCCAGACCTATATAGGTCAGAGGCCTGCTGCTTCTCCCAGAAGAGAGGGAACTTTTTGGTTGTCTGTGGCAATTCCTCTGTACAGATTGTAACTTTTTTTTTTTTAATTTCTCCCCTCCCCTGTCACTTTAATATATGTTCATGGTAATTTGTAAGATATTTCTTTTCCTTATTTTGGTTGCGAAGACCCTTCTGAACACATTCCTGTATAAAGTATTTTGCACTATTTAAAGAACCCCATATGGATGAAGTCAGGTTGTGCAATATAAATGGAGAGTCACAATGTTCATCATTGTACCTGTAATGTAACTAATAATTTTAAATGTACTATTTTAAATATGTAAAATAAATTTTCACCATGAGCATGTTTTAATGAGGCTAAAGACTAGTTGACCCTTTTTCCCCTATTTCACTATTCTGTGAGTTTTAAATGTGCAAACTATTCTTTTTTTTTTTTTTCTTTATTTTAGGGATTGGTTGAATGCATTGGCAGTGTTTTCCTACACAGAAAGGGCTTTAGTTACTAAAGCTCCAATACTAGCCTTCCCTTCAAGAGCCCCTATGATATCTCTGTCTCTACCTCTGAGATGTAGAATGGTACAGATAGGATTCCATCTGTCTGGGCACCCTTGAGGTGCTGACATAATGTAATGACTGGGGTATGAGGCCGTGCTTGGCTTGCACCCCCTGTTTCCCGTGCTGTCTGGCCATCCATGGCAGAGGTGGAAGGAATTCCCCACCAGAGAGCTGAACAGGGGCACCAAAGGAATAGCGCTTCTTTGGCCCTTTCTCTAGCTCGGGGGAGAGGTGACCAACCTCACCCTGGCCTTTCTAAGTAATGACAGGCCCAGATTGAAATCAGTGGTGGCCTCTAAGGCACAATAGGCCTAAGTCCTTTTATTTTAAAGACATTTGCTTTTGGTACCTTTTAAGGAGCTTTGGAAATAAACGCCCTTAAAGCATTGAAATTCTTAATAGTCAATCACCTGGTAACTACAGAGCTAACCTGTTGTGATTTGTGACCTAATTATGCAAGCTCTCAGCACTTCCTCCTCACTTTTGTGTCTTTTGGCCACTTTTTCATACCTTCCATGAGAGTGAAGGTAGAAGGGATGTCAGGCTGGGCAAAAGAGAACAGATCCAAATATGAATGGGTCATTCCGGTTCTTTGTCAACCCCTCTTGCACAAGGGTTGGTGGGAGTGGACCAGAGGCACAGACTTGGAGTGGTTGTCAGTATTTATCAGTGAAGGACACTTAACCGCATCCTCCCCAGGGCCTACTAGGACCACAAGAGTCAGAATTGGTTGTGATGCCTCCATCATAAATGTCACTGAAACCCTGTTTCCACATCAGTTCCTGGGCCTGTGGCCAAGAAATGGAAGCTCCCCAAACCATGATGACGACTTCTTCTGGGAAGAATATGGAATTGAGCCTGCCCTACCACTTATACTACCCTGAGTCTTTCTTCTGAACATTATTTGTAACATTTCTAGTTTCTCATCAAGCATACCGAATGACCCAGAGGGTTGCTAATAAACGTAGGAACACCCCGCAGATTTACACACGCACTCACTGTCTGTCCACCCTAGGAGTCTTGGTAGCATGGACCTCCCTGACTTAAGGTGTTCCCAGACTGAGTCAGGGATGTAGATTTTGGGGGTAAAGATACAAGGTGAATGTCTGAAGTTAACAGTGATATTGTCTAAAGTCAGTTTCCAGGACTGGTTCTCGCTCAGGTACAACAACTGAAGGGAGTTGCTGGTATGCTAGGGAGCCTGCCTGTTCAGGAGGTTCAAGACAAGGTCTGGCCAAGAGATCCTTGCTTTCTGATGGAGTCCCCTTACTCCCAAAATCTGAGAACATGACTATTATTGCTCTTTCCTGTTCAGAAAGGTGATCATTGAACATGTGTGTTAGCGATAAATATTTTGGAAGCACTTCAGCACATCCTAAAATTCCTGAAATATTAGAACATTCTCCTTCCTCCTAAGTCTTATGTGTGTGTTTCTCCCCCCACCCTGTGCCCCTTTCCCTTAATGAAGGCTCTTTTCATCAGGCTCTGTCTGCAAAGGCCTAAATTTGACAAGGAGACACTGAAGGGAGGCCAACCTCACTTATTCCTGACAATGATAGTCTTTCATCCAAAATCTGTGACCACTCCTGAAATTTATAATGTCTGCCCAGGGTCATTAATGCTGTTTGTGACTTGGCTTTTGACGTCTTTGTTTTTGAGTCCTGACATACGTGGAACTTGAAAGCTCTGCTCTGATCTTGTCTTTACATGTCTGTGAAGTAGCTTCCAGACCCCTTAGTGGGAAGGAAGAAGTTAGGGTATTGCTGCCCCACCACCCTGAGAGCACATAGTGGGTCTTCTCCCAACAGGAAAATTCTAGGACCTCTTAGTGCTCGACAGAGCTCTTTATTCACAAACACCTGAGTGACAAGGAAGACATAGACCAAGAAAAACCCTTCATCCTAAAATAATCAGATAAGTGAGTTGAGTTCAACTATGTATTAAGTCAAATGCTCTAGAAAAAAAAATCCTTTCTGTACTACAGTATTTGGGAATAGCCACAGCCCAAATATAAATAATGAGGTGAAAACCTCAAAATCATCCTGTTGGGTCTTTCTTTCTGGTCTTGGGAAAGTACCAATAGCTTATGCACTATAAAATCTACTTCTCTTATGTTTTCTGTTTTACCCACCACTACCCCCCAACCTCATTCTTCCACCCTCCACCATACTGCTCAGGAAGAGAATTCCTCAGTCCTCTAAGGCTTCTTCAGCATGATATAAACACTTTCCTTGGTAGAGTTTAATAACCCAGTACTCATATTTTCCTCAAGTGCTGCAGCCAACCTTGCACATCTCTCAGGAGGAGTCAGAGCTCATCCTCACTCACTGCCTATCGGAGGCAAGATCAACTACCAGCCACCACAGGAGCTGGCATGCTGGTTTGGGGCCTCCGAAGCTGGGGCTTGACTGGAGCACCTCACCTACTGACTCACCCGAGGGTGGCAAGCCCACCCACCACCTCACTCTGCCCTGACCTGCCATTTTGATTGGTGCATTTTTTGGTACAACAGGAAGTCATGTTCATGGCATACTCTACGAATGAGAAAGCGGGCGGAAGTGGAGCACACGGGTAAAAATGAAGCCACAGGGCCTCGTAAACCCAAGGATATTCTGGGCAACAAAGTCTCTGTTAAAGTGAGTAAGGACTTCCAGAGCTGTGTCCCAACTCTCACCTAGTCCCACCCTGCAGCATCTCACGAGGCAATTTGGGTGGATGGGGTTTTTTCTTCCCCAGCGTGGGGACCAGAGGGGATGTAGTTTAGCAGGATTTTGCATGCAAGATCAATTTATTTTTCGTTTTTTATTTCTCCTGGCAACTTTGATTCAAATAAGTAAGTATCTTTTTTTCTTTTATATCTTTCTCTTTATACTGTGCACATGTTTTATAACACATTATCTGCAGCATTATTGTTGTGAAAAATGCAAGATGCTGGACTCATACTAAAGTTCTCAAAGCTGCCTATTCAGTATCCTAGGTATGAAAATACATGCAGGGGAAGGAGATTAGGGGTATTTGCCAAACCTCCAACCCTGTGAAGTCTGAGGTTTGGAATTTAAGGGCCACTATGGCCTTGGTAAAGTTTCATTTCTTTTCCCCAGAATTCAGACATCATTATCAGGCCTATACAGGGGCAGGGAAGGGGAGGCACATCAGCAAAGCCCAAGTTACTGTTTTGTAATAATCCACCTCTTGCTGTGAACCCACTGATTCTAAGCTTCAGCAGACCCTTGTTGTGCTCCCCCTACCCCAAATCTTGAAGTGATGTGATCTGTTTTCTTTACATTGGGCCCTCTGAAAAGATCTGACTCTGGACAATGGGAATCAGACTGCTGATGCTGACTGAACAGCTTTATAATGTGTGATTCCCCACCTGGCATTTTTTCCCCTTCTTGGGCAAAATAAAGAACGTCCTTCTTGGGGAAAAGAAATTCTATTCCCTCCCTCACTCTCCTCGGGGAAATCCAGCCTCACGGGAGACAAGAGTTTAAATTCTACAACGCTCATGCTTCATGTGCTTGCCTCTTCCACTGCTGTTTCCCGTGAGATGCGTGGCGGCACACGATCCCAGCCTCCTCTCCCACCCCCACCCCTGAAAAGAGCATGCTGCCACCCCTGGGTGATCAGCACCCCCACCTTAGAAGCACCTGGTTTTTTTCTCAGCCCAATATTCCATTGCTCGTGCCTTTCTGAAGTTCTCCTCACTCTCCAGCAAAAGCTGCCTGTGTTCTAACTATGTTCTCTTTCTTCCCCCTCCTCATGCTGCCCTTCAAGGAGACGAACAGTTCCGAGGAGTCAGAGTGTGATGATCTTGACCCTAATACTAGCATGGAGGTAGAAGCAGCTATTGTTGTCCTATTTGCTATAATGATTGTCTTTTTAAATGTGTTCTGTAACAGTGACCTTGTTGAAGTGACCGGTCAGTCAAGGATAAATGGTGATGTGGGAACATCTCTGGGTGTCCCCTCCCAACCTAAAAACAAAAACAAAAACAAAAAATACATTGATCCAGCTCAATTTTTGTAGAAAACTTGACCTAGATTTTTTTTTTTTTTTAAGTAAAACTTCTGGTTCTCCTGAATGCTTGCTTAATATTTCCTTCTTTGGTGGGTATGGCTTTGTGTAGAAAATATCCAACTTCATTATTGGAAACTTAGAGCACTTTTTCCCCCTGTGGAAAATGGCCTTATGAGGAGTGGCAGATTGCCTGCTGAAAGACAAGAACTCTTTTAGTTTCTCCTTCTTTTATTTCTCCTTCCTCTCCCTTCCCTCTTTTACTTTCCCCTTTATCCTCTTCACCTGGTTCTTCTACTAGAACCTATTCCTCCCTTGAGGCTCCAGCAAAATCATGGACTAGGTGTGGTCTGGTGGGTAACCTGCTCCCTAGTTACTGGGTATGGCTGGCTGAGAGCAAATGAGTGATTGTAGCAGCCCCAGGACCCGCCTCTGCTCGGCCCCAGAGCTCCTGCACAGTGCCTGTCCCACCAGGAAGTAAAAATAGCCCTGGGAAAGGCCTCCCTTCTGTAACCTTAGCAGCGATCTCTCTAGAGATGGGAAAACTAAAACATTGTCAGAGGCCTTTCTTATACTGTAGGGCTCCAGGGTATGGGATTGGAACCAGTACCTCCACCAAGAACATGAAATCAACTTCCAGCCCCTTTTTGGCTAGAAACGATCTTGGGTTAGAGAAATAGGACTCCTTCATGGCTTGCCACTGAGGGATAACCCTCATAAATTTACTAACCCTAGACAATTAAAGCAAACATGAGCCTGGCTTTCCCTGCCATTTTGTCTTTCAGAGTAAATGGAAATGTTTTCCTCCAAATCTGTGTTCTCATCACCAGGAATGGATAAAAATTTAGAGCGTTCCTCTGAGTACAAAATAAGTATTTTTAAAAAATCTTTTCCTTTTTAGAGACCTAAGCTTTTCACTTAACTGGATGGACTTTTATTATTCTTATTCTAATTTGACCTAATCCCAAAGAATTCCACCACCATATTAAGGCAACCACCAGAAAACCAGAGAAAAACCATTCTGCCTGAGAAGGAGTAAGGCAGCTACGGAAGATGCCAGTTGCTTTGAGCCAGGTCAGAGCCAGTGGCTGAAAGCAGACATTCTGCCAGGATACAGTGGTTGCCTATGGATGTGGGTATTGCCACAGAGCTAAATTCAGCAGGTGTGTGTCAGTGCCCTACCGTGGGTGGAAGTGGGACTGGCACTCGTAGCCTAAATATATCTTAGAGAATGAGGAAGCCAGGGGAAGTTTCTGGCTCTGCTTTCCCTGTGTTTCCTCGGATAGGCACCAGCTCCCATGGAGCCCACACCTGCCAGCTTGTAGACCCCCGGTGATGCCTGTCCCTCCAAGTCTAAGCTCTGCTGGCCTGTATCACAGATGTCATCAGCAAGCAGAGGCAGCCCAGGCACAGGGAGGGACAAGCCAGGTATTTGTGATCCAGAAGACGACTTGGGACCTTTTTCAGCTCAGGTGGAATGGGGAGAGAAAAGTGCCTTTCCCACCCTGCTCTTTAATGCAAGAAGTGGGCCCAGAGCCTCATGGGGCCAGGTGAGCAATGCAGAAGGAGAAAGTTAACTGATGTAATCAGATGCTCCATTCTATGGTTAGATAAGCAAAAGCACACTCACACTCATATACACTTGCATTAGCCCTGCTTTGTGCATTGAACACATCTCTAAGGTTTTTATTCATCCCAGGCCTGCAGCCCTTCGCATAGACTGAGTGCAGTGGGTCCCAGGGAGGCGCTTTGGGATGCATAAGCAAAAGCAGTCGGATGTTCATGCTGAATGGAGGAAAGCCATGAGTTGTGTTGATGCATGTCTGGAAAGTTTTCAAACACAATACTTGAGGCAGACATTTCAGTTAACTGGCACTGTAGAGAGGGCATGTGGTTAGAAACGAGCCAAATATTCTGGTCAGTCCAGGGTTTCCGTAGGAGGTGTGCACGCAGCCCTTGACTATTCCATACGGATCCTTTCAGGTGCCAGCAAGCTCTTGGGCAGTGTATGGCTGTGTTCGAGTTAACTCAGCACAAAGCAGGTGCTGAGGGAGCGCAGGCATCTTGGCACTGCTAGCTCAGAATTCTCAGACACAAAAAACAACTGAGACATAGAAAGTCAGCCTGTTCAACATGAGTTGAGAATTTTCCCACAGGATAGGTAAGTAGAACGTCATTGCGATGTTCATTGCAGAGGAGGAAAATGGCCAGGGGTGCATAGGAAAGAGAGCGGTTCCTTAAAGACCTGGCTTGAGAAGCAGGGGGGCCTCTTGAAGGCCTCTGGCTGCTCACGGATTATTTGGGGCATCATTACCAGGCCCAGCCTGGCCCCCAACCTCACTCTTACCTTCTGAACCTGAGCACTGTGATGTGCATTGTCTGGCTGTTGACAGTCCCTGTGCCCTGGGGAGGTGTCCTGCTCCCCCCCCAAACATACACTGTGGCCTGTGCCCTGAAGCCCTGTGCTCGGCCCCAGCCGCCACGTCGGCCCCTGCAGCAAGTGCACTGCTCCATGCTAGGTCTCTGGGCGTGAAGTCTGGCCCTCTCCACTGCTTGACCTGCCGCCTGCGTGTTGATTCCCACCTGAGCTGTGTTTAGGTTCTTTCTCCTGCCTTCGCACATCTGTCACTACCAAATTCACTACTTTTCTTGTCTTGTTCTCAATTGGTGGACTGAAGGGTCCCTTTAAGGAGCAGTTTCCTTGAATCTTTGCTTACAGACCAGCTGCTTGCTACCCTCAGGGTTGGCTTATGTCCCACCATACCATTTCACGGAGGTTTATAGACATCTCCTTGAAAGCTACTGAAGAGGGAAGTGAAGCACCCCGAATCCCAGGAATCTAATTTCCAAGGCTTCCCAAGAACTCCGAGCACATTGTAGAAGGAGGCAGTTCCGCTCCACTATACCAGCCTTTGTTTTCCCCTCTGGAGAAACGCTTGTGAAGAGTCTCAGGTAGAGCCCCCGCGCCCCCTCCTGGCATGCCAGCTGCTGCACGATTGGTTCCCTGTCTGCAGATCCTCTCATGGTCTGGCACCCCCTTGCTCCTGTTGACCCGTGACCACACCTCAGAGAGATCTAGTCTGGAAATGGCATGGGTCTGTGCGTTGTTCACCTTACTTTATCTTGCGCTGATTACACATTGGAGGCTGGTGGAGAAGAGGATATTATATATAAGAGAAACGTTTCTACATGGAAGAAGAATCCAGTCAGGCTGAAAATCAAACTCTGGGCTGTTTGGGGAACTAGTTAATATTAATTCATTCTTTCCAGTACAGCTTAGACTGCTGACCGCCTTTTCTTGATGAGGTGTGATGGTGGACTAGCATCACATGCCCACCTGCCACCTTCTCAGGCCTGCCCCTGCCCCAGTGTCTGCACAGACCCCCAGGCGGGAGCCAGGGCTCAAGGGTTCAGGCTTCATATCCACCTTCTGAGCCAGTGCTCTCCTCTGAGAAGTCTGGATCCTCCCTGAACTGTCCTGGATTTCTCATAGGACCCAGCAAGGCGGGTTCCCACACCCCTGCCATCTCAGAAAACTGTCTTGAGGACTGCATTGAGATGGGGTTTTATACCTGCCCTCCAGCCCCAGAACTGCCACATGCCTACATTGTGAGCTGGAGGAGAAAGTCCTTGACCAGCCTCCCTGACTTGGGCCTTCATCTTCAGGGATAAGGTTTCTCCGTCCAGCTTTTATGTCAAGCCTAATTAAATAAATGCATCTTAGTTTTAAGACAAAAGCCCAATGCCACTTTTAGCAGAGAACATCAATCTATCAAAATAAGAGGTGGTCCGATTCCAAAATGCTCCATCTCTGCCCCAGTCATTTAACAAGGAGCCGGCCTCATCCACGATGCAGACTAAATCTAGACCTTCACCCTCGGTCATTATGCCAACTGCAAGACAGCTCAGGGTGTTCCTTTCTGCCTAAGAACAGGGTTGGGGTCTTGTGGGAGAGCATTCTGAGAGATTAGGGAGAGAAAGCACTTGGAAAGACAAAGCTACATTGGAAGGAAATTTCCAGTCAGGGTAAGAATCGTAGACTTTCAGAGTGGACAGAAACTTAGAAACCATCAGTTAACCCCCCATTTATTTATATACTATTTTTTCAATTGTGGTAAAACATACATAACATAAAATTTACTACTTTAACCATTTTTTTAAAATATTTATTGATTGTAGGGAGAGAGAGAGATCACAAATAGGCAGAGAGGCAGGCAGAGAAAAAGGGGGAAGCAGGCTCCCTATTGAACAGAGAGCCCGATGCAGGGCTCAATCTCAGGACCCTGAGATCATGACCTGAGCCGAAGGCAGAGGCTTTAACCCACTGAGCCACCCAGGTACCCCTAACCATTTTTAAGTGGCATTAAATACCATCACAATTTGTATAGCTGTCACTGCTATTCATTTCCAGAACTTTCTCTTCATGCTGAATTGAAACTGTACCCACTAAACAATAACTCTCCATCCCTCTTCATCCCCCCAGCCCCTTCAAAGACTTTTAGAAGAGGAAACTGAGGCAGAGAAGTTGTATCTTTCAGTTTGAAAATGAGAAGTTTCCCTGAAGGCAGATTGTGGCTTTCCCTGGACTTCACTCCCCAACCTCCACCATCCTTCTGTGGGTGGGTGGGGGGAATCCCCCATCTCCAGGTTGTTTTTAATCTAAAACACAGATCCTGGAAGATGAGAAGACCTGTCTTCCAGTGCCAAGTTTTATGTGTGGATTTGTTGTTCAACTTTCCAGCTCAACAAAGAGGAATATCATATGTGCTCATCCCAGGTTTCCAGGGCTTAAGTATGACTTAAATAAAAATGACACAAAG